TGGCTTCGATCCGAGAAAACCTACCGAATATACGAGTGTTTCCTGGTAGAACTCCGATAGGTCGGCGACCCCCGTCCTCACGAGGAATCATTGCGAGCAGGATGTGATGGAGGGGCTCTGGTATATGGCCAAGGCGCTCCATGTGAAACCAAATGCTCGCCAGGCATTTCAAGCCTGCGTCGGATAACAGCAAAAAGTCCTGCGGTCTGGCGCGGTCTGCCCCCGCGGCCGCGTGCGCCTTGAAGGTCTTGGCCACAGCGCGGATGTCCTCAGGAGGCGCCTGAGCGAGAGGCTGTTCTCCAGACCGAAAAATGACTTGGCTGAGGTATTGGATGGGGTCGGGCAGGTTGGCAACGTGAGGGGCAGGGGTCCAGATCTTCTTCCACTCCTCCTCCAGACACCTCATCTGCTCCTCAAGGCTGGGAAGGGGGCCCCCCTTTGGGGTTGTCGGGGATGAACCCACAAGGCTTCTTGGTGAACCGACGCGCCGGGCCTCCTCCTCCCTCGAGAGATTTAGCAACCCAAGTCCGCCACTGCTTGGCCCTCTTGGTGCGGAAGCGCCGTTCGAACAGCTCTGCCTGGCGCTTGGACGCAGCGGCAAACTGCAGCAACTGGTTAATCTCAATCGAGCCGAGCTGGAAATGCGCGCGCAAGTGCTTCCACTCAGGGTTCTCGAGGAACTTATTCGGGCCCGAGGCCAACGTGGAGCCCAGCGAGAGGATCTCTGGGTGGTCCATGGGGTGGTCTTTCCTAAGCAGGTGCGCCAACTCCAGAAACCAAGTAGCCACCTTCCTCCAAGCACGGCCGTCAGGACAAGAAACAGGATAATCACCTCCAGAAGTCCTCGCGGCTGAAACCTCTTTAAGCTTGAGCCCGTTGGCCCTGCCAGAATAGGTGCGGTCCAGGGAATCGACGTTGTGGGCGCTCTTGAGTTCCGCCTCGAAAAGCTTGCAGAAGTGAACATAAGCCTGGTCCAGATCGTGAGGGGCCACATTAGGACTGTCGAGGATGTCGCTGCAGGGGGCCCACGACGGGGGAGTCGGGTAGGGACCCATGGGGCGCTCCTTCGGGAACGGCTTGGGCCCTTGCAGAACCTTGACCTTGGCCTCCAATGGATTCCCTTCGAGCTCCAACGACACCGCGTAATGGGGCGATGCGGCGCTGGCCTCGTTGCGATCAAACTGTCTCATGGCGGACTCGAGGCCCCGCGAGACAACAAAGAAATCGATGGTCCTCCACTGCTTGTCCGACTTGCGGCAAGTGGGTCTGCTAGAATGCAAAATGGTGCCGCCTAGACGGTCAACCCACCCAGTGTTGAGCAGCTGTGATGGGTGAGTATTCCAATCCCCTCCAATGATGAACGGGATCTGCAGCCGGTGGATCTCTTCGCCAATGCGATTCAAAATCCTGAACGAGTCGAGGCCTAGCGGATCGCTGCAATCTAAATAAAGCGAGAAGGCAGCCAGACCTCCAGGGACGAACGCGTTGACCCACGCGGGGCATACCCTCTCAGGCTGAGGAAGGGGGCGACCGAGTGGCAAAGCTCCAATGGGGATGTGCGGGCGAACCGCAATTCCTGTACCGCTGCTGAGCCCCCCTCCCAGGGTGGGGATACTGGGATTGACGATAGATGTCCACCCTATGCTCTTTAGCTGGTTGACCCCCTCGTACGGCGGCTCCCCGAAGCTGAAGTCCTGGAGTAAAACGATGATCCCCTGGGCCTCGTCCTGCAAGTATATTTTGAGAGATCCCCAGGGTGTAGTATTGGCCGTGTCGAACACCACACGCTTCAACTCTGACGAGGAAGGAAGAGTGGGTTTGGCGCGAGCGCCAGGCGTGCTGGCATCCTGCTCACTCGCGCCACCAGACTCACTGGACGGTCGGGGGCCTGTGCAAGCGGGAGTTCGCGACGCCGATGCTGGAACAGCTCTCGTAGTCGATGATGGCTGCGCCGCCCCTGCCGACGGCGACTGGACAGGATGACAGGGTACCTGGGCAGGAAGGCGAAGCTGCAACCATGATGATGTTGATGTCATGCGTGCGCAGCGTGAGAAGCTCGGGGCAATTTCGGGCCGCCCCCAACCTGGTGTGGTAGTGCCCGTGGAAGAGGTATCGCGAGGCAAGCCGTGCCGCGAACATGTGGCGCCCTCTGCCTGCCATACTCGCGCCGATTCCCTGCCCCAGGGTCCCTCTAGGCGGTCCCAGCGCCTCAGGGACGCTGGCCTACCTAGGGTTTCGTCTGGGGGGGGTCTCAGCGGTCTCATGGCAGGTGTGGCGACCATGTCGGAGACGTCGAAATCGAAGTCCCGAACGTAGTTGCCCACTGCCATGACATGCTAAAGTCCTGGCTGAGAAAGAACTGGTTCGGCTGAATTTCTTGAAGCTGCAAGGGCCATGTCGAACCGCAACCTGTGCTCAGCAGGGTTCGACGCATCCACAGGGCGCTTCTCAACGGTAGAATCCTGGGCGATGCCGCAGGCCTGGGCCACTGCGGCAACCGATGGGGCCGAGGGAGCCCTCGGGCCTGTGGCGGTGGCAGGAGAGGCCGCTGGGGCCTCGGCTGCCGCGGGGATAACAGCCGCGGCCGTGCCAGGGGTGGCTGGCGCGCCACCTCTAGCAGTGTCGCAGTCGCCCTCGTCGTCGATGCCGAACTTGCGACGCTTGAGCTGCATGCGGGCACGGAAGGCGCGCTGCTCGTCGACCAGCTCCTTGGCCCTCTGCTTGACCTGGCCACAGGACTCCGCCACTGCCCTCTTGATGGTGTCTTCGACCTCCGCCTTGCGCCGAGCCACCTCTTCGCGCTCGTGTTCGGAGAGCTCGACGCCCTCGGCCTCCAAACCGAACAGGTCGTCGCCGGCGAAGATCTCGACAGGGGCGTGCTCGTCCAGCAGGCGTTCCAGGCTGAGGCCGTGGGCGCGGGGCGCGGCTGCGGGGGCCGCTGTCGCGCCCGCACCCTCGGGAGGCACATGCTCGGCCAGGATGCGCACTGCCCTGTGGTAGTTGGTTTGGCACTCCTCGAAATCGGAGAGGGCGCTGATGGCGGCCTGCTCTGCGTCGTGGATCTGTTGCTTGAGAGCCTCAGCAGCGCGCACTTTTTTGTCCAGGAACTTCTTCGCCTCACGCATGGCGTGCTGAGCAGCCCCCACCGTCTGGGGCTTGGGCACCGCGGCCATCTGCAGCTGGCTGGCATAACGGTTGTACAAGTCGGCACTGCGCGTGTCGCCAATGCGCTGGAAATTCGCGGCCAAACTGAGCAGCACTGGCACGTCCTCCTTGGTATAGTTGGTCCAGGAGTGATGACATGCCGAGCGTAGCCATCCATATTCACCCAGTTGAAGTCCAGGCATTCTGGGCTCACTCGCAGGCTTGCCTGGGCCAGGTGATTGCGGAGCTGAGGACCGACCATCGGCTTGACCCTTGCCTCTGCCCTTGTCGGACTTGCCTCCTTTGCCGCCCTTGGTAAACTGGGATGCGCCTGCACCCACAGCACCCCCGTCGCCCTGGGCGCGGTGGGAGCCCGCGGGAGGCCTGCTGGCCCAGGTGCCCGAGGCCTCGGGCGGAGCGGACGGGGCCACGAAGGACAATGGCTACAGGCAATGCTTGCAGAACCAATAGTGTTTCTTGTTCTTCTTGCAACCGCAATGGGGGCAGGGCGCTTTGCTGAGCGCCTCGCCGTCGCAGTACCACTGCTGAGGCTCACCTGTTGGCTTGCGTACCCAAGGATCACGAAAGAACAGAGGAGCCATCGGCGAGCCGTAGCCAGGGGCTGACCTGACTGGGACGTCGTTGCTCCAGCAGGAGCTCACAAAGAAAATGAAGGGAAACAACCTCGTCTGGCAGGCAACGAGGAGAAACGGTGGGGGGCGTCCTTCCCCCTTGTCAAACAGCCAGGTCCTGTGCCGAAACACTACGGACTTGAGCCAAAATGGCTACGGACCCTCCTCCTCCTCCTCCTCCTCCTCCTCCTCCTCCTCCTCATCCTCCTCCTCCTCGTCCTCCTCCTCCTCCTCCTCCTCCTCCTCCTCCATGGTCGAGGCTCGAAGGCGTTAGGCGTTTGTTCTTCTGCCTTTCCTGGACGCCCAGGGGCCTCAGGAGGCTTCTGGGCCCCCCGACCGCCCGCGCGCCGCGTGGTGGGCGCCTCTGCACAGCTCGTCGAGGGGCGCCTGCCTTCTTTTTTCGTAGGAGGAGCACAATCATAGGAGGGGCGACAGGAAGGACGAGAGGAAGGAGGAGGGAGGAGGAGGAGGAGGAGGAGACGGAGGAGGAGGAGGAGGAGGAGGAGGAGGAGGAGGAGGAGGACAACGATTGAGATGCACAATGGTAGGAGGGGCGACAGGAAGGACGAGATGGAGGAGGAGGAGGAGGAGGAGGAGGAGGAGGAGAGGAGGAGAACGATGAGGAGGGGGAGGAGCAGCAGGAGGAGGGGGAGAACGATGGGGAAGCACAATGATAGGAGGGAGCGGCAGGAAGGACGAGAGGGAGGAGCGAGCGAGCGAGCGAGCGAGCGCGCAGCCGTCGGATCCAGGGATCCGGCCCTGGGCAGGGCGGCGCGGTAGGGCCTCGGCCCTAGAATCTCAGATCACATAGTTCTCGACGTAATCCTGCCATCTCTTCTTTTGACCGCCGTGGCGTCGTTGGTGATGCGGTTCAGATGGAGACCATTGCAATGCCCAATGAGCCCACGAGCTCCCCGGACGCTGAGGAGAAGGCGGAGAGGAGGAGGAGGAGGAGGAGGAGGAGGAGGAGGAGGCGACGGCGGGGGGGGAGGAGGAGGAGGAGGAGGAGGAGGAGGAGGAGGAGGAGGAGGAGGAGGAGGAGAACGATGAGGAGGTGTAGGAGCAGGAGGAGCAGGAGCAGGAGGAGGAGGAGGAGGAGGATACGGTGGAGACGGTGGAGGATGACAGCGGTGGACAGAAGCAATGATGGGGAGAAAGGATGGGGAGCAGGGGAGGAAGACGGAAAGATGGGCCCATTCTGCCCGCGCGCAAAGCGGGAGCCGCCTACGCACAGCTCGTCGAGGGGCGTCTGCATCTTCTTCTTCTTGATCTTCTGGTACTTCTCCTCCTGGGTCTTGGCCTCGCCGCGGCGGGGGTGGAAAGGGAGGGAGACGGCGAGGGGAGGGAGGAGCGAGGGAGGGATGGGGGAGGGAGGGAGGGAGGGAGGAGTACGAAGAGGAGGAACGCCGCACGGCTGCCTTGTCTCCCTTCGCCTGCTTCTCGCCCTCGCTCCTGCCATGTTCGACTGCTCCTTATCCTCTTCCGCATCCTCCTCCTCCTCCTCCGCCTCCTCCTCATCTTCCTCCTCTCCGTTTCCTCATCCTCCTTGTCCGCCTCATGGTCATCATTCTGCTTCTGCTCCTGCTCCTTTTCCTCCTCGTCATGCTGCTGCACCTTCTCTTCATCCTGCTCCTCCTTCGTCTCCTCTTCCCCGCCCTCTACTCGTTTAGCTACTCCTCCTGAGGGCGGTCCTCCTCCTTACCTTGATCAATCACCACCATCACCATCATCACCATCACCATTATCATCATCATCATCATCATCATCATCATCATCATCATCATCATCAGCATCATCACCATCACCATCACCATCACCATCACCATCACCATCATCATCATCATCATCATCATCATCATCATCATCATCATCATCATCATCATCATCATCATCATCCATATCATCATCAACAGCATAATCATCATCAGCAGCATCGTCATCATCGTCATCGTCATCATCACAATCATACTCAGCATCACCATCATCACCACCATCATCAGCAACAGCAATATCATTATCATCAGCATCACCATCATCATCATCATCTTACGCATCCTCAGCATCACCATCATCATTAACAATAGCATCATCATCATCATACTCAGCAGCATCAACAACACCTTACCATCATCGTCATCATCACCACCATCAGCACAATATACATTACCATCTACATCACCAGCATCACCAGCAGCACCAGCATGATCATCACCATCATCAGCATCGTCATCATAATCGTCAGCATCATCAGCATCATCAGCATCGTCATCATCACCAACATCGTCATCATCATTACTGTCGAGCCGAGGCGACTCGAGCGAAGTTTTGAGTCAACCTCTCCTTCCTCACTCTCTCTTTTGCCGCCGCCTCCGCGGCTGTATGGGATCGAGGAGGGGGCCCCCTCTTTTGTGCAGAGAGCGCGGCAGACACGCCCGCCAGCACGGGCTGGCGCCATCATGCTCGACGGACGAGCGTAGCTAGCAGAACACAGCGTCGACGTTAATCACGACATTGGTATTGCGGAGCTAGATCCACGGACAAGTTCTGGCACTCCTGAAGGGACCAGAACACCATGCAGGGGGACGACAAGAAGTCTAAGGACGCCATTCCCGAATGGGATGGCAACCCAGGGCGTTGGCGTCATTTCGAGACGGCTGTGAAATGGTTCCCTCGCACTCTCAAGAGACAAGAGAGGGACCTAGCGGCGAACAGGATCATCGGGCGTATGCTACAGAGCAAGACGATCGCCATACGGACGTTTGCGACCACGTTGGATCCAGACAGATATGAGAATTCGAACGGCCACCTCCTCCTCTTAGACGACCTGAGGAACAGTCCACTGGGAAAGCTACCTATCCCGGACGCGGCCCACAAGATTAAGCACTACTACAAGGACTTCAAGCGCCGCAAAGGCGAGACGGTGGGCGCGCTCCTGATCAGAGAGCAAGACTGCTACTCAGAAATGGTCCAGGCGCTGGAGCGTCTATTGGAGGAGATGGGCGACAATGACAAGTACAAGCAGTGCCAGGAGTGCTACGGCTACTTCGACAGAGACCGTGGCGCACCAGGACGTGGATATTGGTACTGCCAGAGGTGCTGGGACCACTGGGAACCCAGCCCCGATGCGCCGACCCCCTCAGCAGCAGATGATGCCCCTGCTGAGGAAGCAGAAGAAGCAGATGAACGACAATCGATTACGTCTCGCTCGCAGGGCTCTCGGACGGATCGATTTCACCGACAAGAATCCATGGCGAGCAAGCTTAAGGTTTCGGAAGCAATGGCGGTGGGCTCCACGTTCTTCGGCCATGCTTCGGGAGTTCTGAAGGTCCTCCGCGGATTCTTCCTGCTCGAGGCTATGGACTTCACCGAGAAGGAGAAGCAGGACGTCCGCGTGGTCACGCAGAATCGTTTGGACTTCGATGCAATCTCCAAGGCTTTGAAGGAGAGATGGGAGGACAAGGCGCTGGTGCAGCGAGACTTCGGACCGAGGGCGACGCCTCGGTACGGTCCGGAGTCAGGCCCTCAGTCGGCCCTCGTTGCAGAGCTTGACGAAGTACACGGACCAGACTGGTACGATGGCTACGCAGCGGCAGTTCAGGCGTGGGAGCACGACGGTTACGACCACCACGAGAACGAGGACGACTACGACATCGTGGAGGATCCGCAGCTCGCCTCAGAGCCAGAGGAGTCCGAGGCCATGGACGAGGATCTCAACCATCTCAACGAGGAGCTCGAGGCGGCCCAGGCGATGGCAGCAGAGGCGTCACGTACTCTAGTTCAAGCCAGGCAAGCAGTGGCCGCAGCTCACAAAGATCGAGGATTTGGCAAGCCATCATCGAGTCCAGGAGGGAAGAGCCGCCTTCCCCCGTCGTGGCCACACCAGCCGCCCTCGAGACCGCCGTTCAATGGTCGAGGCCCCAAGGGCAGCAAGAGCGGCAAGAACGGCAAGGGCAGCAAGTACCGCGACAGGGACCACGACCAGAAGGGCAAGAACGCGAACTACCTGGAGTTTCACACGATCACGCACGGGTTTGACGAGCTCCAGGGGCTGTACCAGGCGGAGCTGACCGACAGCGGTCTCGCCCCCTCTGAGGCCATGGTTGATTGCGGGGCTTCCGCGTCCGCCGGAGGCGAGCGCGCAGTCCAGGCCCTGGTCGCCGCCGTTGCGGCTGCGAACCCGCAGGCCAGGATCGAGATCAGCAAAAATGAAAGGCCGTGGTTTCGTTTCGGAGACAATAAGTGGGGCAAAGCACTGTATAAGGTTTCGGTCGAGTTCGAGCCGGGCTTCGTTCTGGGTATTTTCGCTCTTAGTCCTGGCGTGCCCCTCGTTCTGTTGGGAATGACCGCTCTGGAGTCGTGGCCGGCAATCGTGAACTTCCGAACCGGGGAGGCTGTGATCAGGGGTCAACTGGTGCAACTTCGCAAGACTCCAGGCAAGGGCCATTGCATCCTCGACCTGGTGAAGCACGTTTCCGAGATTTTAAACCCGACCGCGGAAAACACCGAGGGTCTTGCAAGGGCGTTTCAGAGATGGTCGATGGCAAAGACCACATCACCACCATCAGCATCATCTCAGACAAGAACGACATCACCAGCATCATCTCAGACAAGAACGACATTATCAGCATCATCTCGGACAAGAACGACTTTATCAGCACCATCTCAAACAAGAACGACATTATCAGCATCATCTCAGATGAGAACGACACCATCATCAGTATATACGGCACTGACGACAACACCATCATTGATAACAGCAACATCACCTCCATCAACCATAACAGGTAGAGCAGCTCCATCATGGTCATCCCATCCTCCGCCGTCTTTTGGCTCTGGAACTCGCTCAGAGCGGATTTCGGCGATCCGCAAGCCGACGTTTCAGTCAGAGCGTTTCCATGGAGGGCAAGGACGAATGGGTACCTGTCGACATAGATGCCGACAAGAAGGAGGAGGGCCCGGAGGTAAAGTCACCTTCGGCGGCAGCGAGCTCCGGACCTACGACCCAGGTCAAGCGGGAGTTCGTCTTCAACGGCCAGAAGATGGAGTATGTCACCTCGGAGGGCAAGGTCAAGGAGAAAGACCCGGGCAACGCGCACCAGGGTCGCAAGAAGGAGAAGCAGATGGAGCTGGACCCGGCGTTCGCACTGCAGGTGGACCCCCGCGATCCGAGGACCACACGGGGACCGTGCGGGCAGACGCATCGCAAGTACTTCACGGTCAACAACCAGTGGGGCCAGACCAGGACGTGCTATCGGTGCGGGCTGAGGCTGCTCTACGTTCCGACGACGAAGGCGCCGATGACGAACCTCAGCATGCAGCATCCGAAGTTGGTGGAGTCCGGCCTGGAGCTGGTGCGGCACTGCAACCTGTGGGAGACGGCCAATCACGTGCAGGTGACCGCGATGATCAACATCGCCACCTCACTTCGGAGGCTCCCCGGGACCGAGATCCGACACACGCCGGATGCGCTGCTGGAGATGTTGGGGGCAGCGAATCCCAGGCGCAAGGTCCAGATGGCCGAACCAGTACCCGGGCCAGTCTGAACCGGGTGCCGAGACAGCTTCTGACGGCCGGACGCCGCAGGACACTACTCGCAGGACTGACTTTGGCCATGACCGTGGGTACGATCACCGAGGCAGTGGAGATCTGCTGCCATCCCAACAGCATGCTGACCGACGAGTGCACCAACATCGGCCTCAGCATGGAGCGGATCAGCATCGAGAACGGCTACAACCTCAGCACGAAGACGGGGTTCGAGGCCGCTAGCAAGAAGCTGGACGAGGTGATGCCGAAGAGGGCTTGGATATCGCTACCATGCACACTGTGGACTTCGCTTACGAACTTCAACTACAAAACACCAGAGGCACGTGCACGCCTCGAGAAAGACCGACTTCGAGACAGACGACGTGTGAAGTATGGAGTTCTCCTGTTGCTAAAGATTGTTGACAACGGAGGCGAGATCTACTTCGAGTGGCCTCACAGGTGTCAAGGCTGGAAGATTCCCGAGCTCAACTTTCTACGCACAGAGTTGAGGCGTCGGGGACGACACGTCTTCGAGGATCGGATCGACGGGTGCATGTACGGCCTCAGGGACTACAACACCAACGAGCTCGTCGAGAAGGGCTGGAGGATCATGACCACCGACCCGGAGTTCTCCAAGGTCGCGACCGTGTGTGACCACTCACACGGCCACCGAGTCATCAGCGGAAAGCTACACACTGCAGCCACAGCCTACTACCCGCAGGCGATGTGCAAGGCAATTGCCCGGCTATGGCATGCTCAACT